GATCATCCGCTCACGGGGAGTAAGGGGCCGGAGACCAGTGTCCCCGATGACACATTCCGGGGACCCGAGCCATATGCCAGCCTCCCGGGGGAACTCGGGGCCCCCTCTCCTGAATTTTCGGGGGAGGGGTGAGGGTACACCCTGACTGGCGGAGCCGCCGCGGAACCGGGCATCAATTTAAATACATAAATGAATAATTCAATCAATACCAATAACGTGGAGGGAGAACGCTAGCTTCAGAGGCGGACACTCGCTCAATTAGGAGCGACAGTTCGCGCAAACAACGTCCCGGCCCTGCGTGCAGCAAGGCCGAGGCGCGCGCCGAGGCGGCCGTCTCCGAGGGAGCGCTGTCGAGGGCCGGTTCTATAGCCTCGCTAAGCTCCCTTGGAGGAGAGAGCCGAAAACGGGCGGCCGAATATGTTGTCTCCTCCTCGGATTCCGAGGGGGAGTCAACAAAAAGATCCAGGGGGAGGCCAGCTCTAAATCCCGAACATGCCGGGAAATTTACTGCCGAGGCAATGGCAAAGAAAAGACCAAAGCCCGACAGCTCCGGAAGGACTACCGGACGATTTTGGATCCGGACGTTGAGCCGACCTCCACATCAGCCAAGAGGGCTCAAGGGAAGGCTGTCGAACTCGCCCTCGAGTTCGACGATCAGCCGATTTGCGCAGTCGCTGCGGTCGCAACATGCGAGCTGGCGACCATTGCCAAATCGGTTGAAAGATCGAAAAACATCAAGGGAGATATCGTGAGGGATATGTGGACAGCATACACCAAGCTGTCCGCAGCCCTCACGTCAGTCCTTGCGAGCGAGTGATGGCAGCCTGGCCGCGAACGGAGGCCAGAGGAACGAGTGCTCCAGGCCGGCGGCCTGGGTAAAGCGGCAACTCAATCAAGAGCTGGTGCTCCTCCGCTCCAGGGTCGCGGTCCTGGAGCAGGGCAAGAGTAGAGGGAGATCGACCTCCCGCTGCACCTCTGGGAGGGACGGGGCGATCGGCCTTGAATGGGACTCGACCATGGAGTGGTCGGGTCCCGAAAGCCTAGCCGGCGCCCGCAGCCCCATCAGGACCAGGGGTGGGAAGAAAGCTCCCGCGGAGGGGGAGGAGCTGCGACCGCGCGTGACGGTCACGGAGGAGGACATGAGGTCCCCGTATTTCAGGCCTCCTCTACAGGGGGTTGCCAAACAGCCAAACCCCCTGGCGACCGTCGCGGATAAGGTCACCGGAAGGGAATCCCCTTCTAAGAAGAAGAGGGGGAGGGCTCAC